AGGAATTACTTTTTCTACCTCTGTGATTAACCAAATAAATGTTCTCTTATAGTCTGGGTCTTCGCTCTGAATTCTTTCCTAGCTAGAACCCAAGTACTGAGTTTGCTGAACCCAGGTCTGGTCTGACCCCACCAGTCCGACACCTGGTGTCGTTCCTACCACCTACAACAATACCATTTGAAAATTAGGGTAAAAAATATATTTAAGACTACTGATGTCTATAAATATATACCCCGGTTCAAAGAGAGCTCAACATCACAGCACAATGTGGTGTTGGGAGGTTGGGCAGGACAGCGGGGCATCAGCATGAGCTGGCGTCAGATCCAGTCCCTCCCTTGTTCAACACTTTGTAAGCACTTTACTATTTACTAGACGAATGTGACAATGGACAAACCACTTAGTCGCCTTAAAATGTAAAGTGAGATCACAGCTATCTCACAGCACATTGTGAGGATCAGATTAACCCAATAAGATAGTATATGTCCAAGTGCCAAACTAAGTGCCTTACTCAATCATAGCTGAATTTCATTCCCAACTGTTCTTTCACTAGCCTGCATCTAAAAAAATGCCAAAATATCTTCTAGTTGCTCAGATTGCTTCTCTACTATTCTCTCCTTCCCTCTCCAGGAAACAGGTATTTTTAAATGCTGGATAAGATCTTAACTGCATACACATATCACTTAGGCTTCCATTCAGCATCTCCACCCTCAATTAATTCAAAGTCTCGCTAGAAAGACAAAAAATGCAACAATACCGTGAGGCATGTGTTGAAAGATGCACGTACAAAATGCTACGGGAACACCAAGAATGGAATGAGCATGTGAGAAAAATCACAGCTTCACCAAGACTGTGACATCAGAAATGAATCTTAAAGAAGGAAGTGATTTTTTTTTTAAGGCAGAGAAACAGCATATTCGAAAGAACTTAATTTTCACTTTGGATGTTTAGAGTTTGACACAGTCAATTTTTATTGGGCAAGCCATGCAATATGACTGATATACTGTCCTAATCTCCAATGTCCACGAGGGCTTGCCAGTCTAAAAGGCTCAAAATATACTGATTCCTTGCTTGCAGGCTCGATCCCTGGCCCGTCGGGGCACTTGCAGGAGGCAACCAATCAATGTGTCTCCCTCATGTTGCTGTTTCTCTCTCTCTCCCTTCCACTCTCTCTGAAAAGCAATGGAAAATATATCCTCAGATGAGGATTAAAATAAATAAATAAAATGAAACAAGGAGAAAAGCCCTTTAGAGAGACAATGTTCAGATGAAACTGTAAGAGAATGACTGGAAATAAGAAAGGATTGTAAA